TCCCTATCCCACTATGAATCAGCCTCCTTATACCAAAGAAAACATTCGGCATTTGGTTTTTTGGGATTGGCTAACTTCACTTGGCATTATCTTCTCTAATTCCATCCATTTACCTGCAAATGCCATGATTGTATTCTCTTTTATTGCTAAGTAATATTCCATTTTGTATATATGCCACATTTTTTTTATCCATTCATCCATTGATGGGCATCTAGGTTGGTTCCACAGTTTAGCTATTATAAATTGTCTCAGAAGATGATGTACAATCAATCAACAAATACATGAAAAAATGTTCATCATCACTACCAATTAGAGAAATGCAAACCAAAACCATTCTAAGATTTCATCTCACTCCAGTCAGAATGGCAGCTATTATGCATACAAATAACAATAAGTGTTGGGGAGGATGTGTGTGGGGGGGATGGTACTCATACACTGCTGGTGGGACTGCAAATTGGTGCAGCCAATATGGAAAGCAGTATTGAGATTTCTGGGAAAATTGGGAATGGGACCACCATTTGACCCAGCTGTCCCTCTCCTGGGTCTATACCCAAATTACTACATTATTTTTAAGTAACAAATTTTAGTTACATATCTAGCTAACAAGAAAGTTTTGCTTTTTTGAGGGGTGTGTGTTTTTATGAGTGGGTAATACACCATGCTTAATTTTTCTTGAATTGCCTCTTAATTTTTCTTGAACTAGCACAGTGACTTAAATTTTTAAATAAAAAAAAATAAAAAGTTAATATACATGTATACTGAATAAAAACTAGTTGTTTCCTATTCACTATTACAAATTTTCCCCACTATATTTTAATTATTTTGTATGAATTCTTTGGTTCTAATAACAGTGTAAAGTAAAACAACATTAAAATTTAAATCAGATGCAGCAATAATAACTTAACTTTTGAAAAACCAGTCAAGTTTCTCTTCTTGGATGTTATGGACTAGTAATGTAGAGTAACATACCTGCCCATGACCGGAATGTTGCAATGATTCCCATTTTACTGGCTAGAAACCGTGCTTCTCTGTCTTCTCTGTTTAAAAGTGGGGAAGAGTATCAAAGGCATACAATGTTAAGATAAAATGAGTTTTTGATGCTTCTTTATCAGAATAAGAGCTATCACTGATGTTTAGATATTTACATATGAAATTTAAAAAGATGTTAAGAGAAAAGTTATCTACCCCAAAGCCAATTACCCAACTATAAACTGTACTTCTATTTAAAATTCAGTACATAGTTTAAAATAAACTAAAAATTTTGCTGTTCCTATTCAGGTCTATATTCCCTGCCTTTCTGAAAATTATTTTTAGATGAACTTTATTTTAGTGTTAGAAAAGAAATCTACTTAATAAGCATCTGTCTTGCAAGGTTGCCCCTTAACAAAGAAAACTACTTAGGAAATCTCTTTTATTGCATTCTCTTATTCAAAATTCAAAGTTCTTGCCCCAAACTTATTTGAGTATTTCCAATGAGCAAGATGAGTAATCTATATAGTCATTACAATGTTATTAAATAACTAGATGATATTATTACCAACCACTTCCTACAATTATGTAACCAACTGTCTAACAATAGTTAAGACAATTAAGCAACAGATCTATTTATATTTGTTAAACATTTTTCATGGTAGACTTATGGTCTGGTCGGTTTCAATGATTTACAACAATCTGATAACTCTTAATTTATGCTCCTCCAAATATCCAGATAGACATTGGCCTACTATTATTTCATTCTCGAAGGGATGATAAAGTAATTATGCTAAAAATACATACAATACAAAAACAAAGATCTAGGTTTTACATTGAATTATATCTTATTTTTTTTTAAATAAGAAATTAATCTTTAAATTTCCAAAGATTTCTTTTACTTTTTATAGTAATCATGAGAAAAAAGCCGTATAATTCAATGAAATAGGAAATTCATTTAAATTCACACTTCTCTAGTTCTATATGAAATCAGGCAAATATAAAAGCTTTAATATTAACACATAACATTTCATAAATTATTAGGAACCAGTGGTACTTACTTGAGCTGTCCTTCAGCAGTATCTGGACTATGTCTGTAGTGAAAATCAGTATAGGGTGCTAAAATTCGCTAATTAAAAAAAAAAAGAAAGAAAGAAAGAAAGAGAAAAAGGTAACAAAAGAGCATGAAGTCTTTTATTATAAACAGCATTCAACCTATAAAAAGCCTAAATTAATTTTTCTATCTCTTTAATTGGGTTTATCATTTAAACTTCCTTCTTAAAATTCATCAAGATATGATAGGTGACTTTTCTAAGTAAAAACTGAATTTCTGAACATTTAAATTGAGGTATAA